CAGGTAAGTCTCCCTGGCCTCCGCCAACCATCTCTCTCTCTCCAACGCTACTCTAGCTCCTAATAGCGCCCAGCGCTGAAGACTACTGCAAACGCTACTACTACTACTGCAGCGCTCCTCCAGAGTGCTGCTGCCGAATCCTGAAGACTGCCTCCTGCCTCCTGCGCGTGAAGTGCCTGGGAAGTCCCTATGAACTACCTGCAGCCTGCAGGGCGGGCCAGTCTTATGTAGTGCTGGCCCGTCCAGGAGGCTTCTCTTGCCAATGCCAAAATGTGCCAGACCCTGGTGAAACGGTTTTCACCTGTCAGCAGTAGCGAGCGCAGATCCCAGGGCTCGATCCCTAGTTCCCACCTTACCTGTGTACTGTATCTGTGTTGACCCCGAGTGTTTGAACCTGTGACCTGTGTTTTGACAGTTGTTGTTGTCTGTCGTAGGTCGGTGTAGGGGTAGGGGTTCGATATGTAGACCTGTCGGATAGGAGTCCTAGTAGCTGTAGCCTGTCCGAAGGGTCAAGGTCATAGCTGCTACAGTCCTGAAAGGTCAAGGTCGTAGCTGCTACAGTACCGAAAGGCCAAGTCTACAGACTTCCGGAAGTGGCCTTTCGGAGTAGGCCCACGTTTAGACAGAGGCAAGTGGGCAAGTGGGCAAGTGCTGGAGCCAACCTCAGTGCTTTGGCAATGCGACTGCAGTGAGGTTGCGGTCCAACCCCTTGCAGTCAGCAGTACGGTCCAGTCAGTCCCAGTCCAGTCCAGCAAGTACCATATGGGACTGTGTACACAGTGGGCCGATGGAAAGGGCCAGACCAGCGAGCTACAGAAGTATAAATCAAAGGGCAGCGTCCAGTCATTCATTCATTCCTGCGTAAGCCATGCGGAAGCTCTGCCATAGCGACTTGTGCGAGGTGGTCTGCAGTGAGCCCGGAGTTGAAGTGGGCGAGAAGGAGTTAGCCATAGCGATAGGGTAGAGGCGGCCTTAGCCGCCATAGCTGTAGATGTGTGGCGGTGTGTGCGTGTACAGTGGCATGTGAGGTATCCTGTAACGAGCGTGAGGCTGAGGGTGAGCCGAGGGAGAGGAGAGAGAGGGAGAGAGTGAGAGCACACACACACACTCACTCACTCGACACGACGGACTCGGACTGAGGATCGGACGCAGACACAGTGGCAAGGCACAAAGTCGAAGTCTTGGATTCCGAATGCCGAAACAGCAMGTCACACTGAGTACGAGTACAGCAGCAGAGAACTGGTACGAGACTGCCCCCCGTACCGTACGGGGAGCCGGTATAAGTAGCGGTGACACGTACGGTACCAGGGGCATTTCTGCAAAGGCCCCGAGGGCAGAACTGAAAAATGCAGTATTTGAAAGTGGCGCCCAAATTGCAGCATGGCGCCAGTTGTCCAAAATCCTATGGTACCAAAGGGGGGGTTTGGAAAAAGGGTGCCAGGCCGAGAACGGGATGCAGCCAAAACAGCAAAAGATAGACCAGGGATCGAGCCCTGGCGAAGTCCGTAACATATCCAGGGTGATCCTGTGTGCGAACAGCAGTGTCGAGTGAGTGACGAACAGAGAGTTGTACAGGCGATGTGCCACCATAGCCAGTGGAAGTGAACTTGTATCTGAACTGAGTTCTTGGTACTATATCTCTGAGTTTTGAGTGGGCGCCTGGCGCCAGTTTGCTTCGCAACCTGTTTGCATATGTGTGAAGTGTGAATGAATGCGAGTCTGATTGCACTGGCGTTGAAGTTCAAACAAAGGTTGTCTTGAAAACAGGCCCAAAATGGCCTGTGCTAAAGCCCTGGTCTGGTGCCTAAGTTTCAGGGCAGGCCGATCTTATCAGGGCCTGAAAATGGCCCTCCGTTTCAGGCTGAAAAGGCTCAGGGCCTGGAGGGCCCTTTTTAGGCTGAAACGACACAGGGCCTGTAGGCCCTCATTTTCAGGCTTTCAGGCTGAAACGACACAGGGCCTGGCCCTTGTTTTCAGGCTTTCAGGCTGAAACGACACAGGTCCTGTAGGCCCTTGTTTTCAGGCTCTTAGGCTGAAAACGACACAGGGCCTGTAGGCCCTTGTTTTCAGGCTTTTAGGCTGAAAACGACACAGGGCATGTAGGGCCCTGAATTTCCGTCTGGTCGGGCCCTGCAGGCCCGTGTGGCTGCACAGTATGCCACACATGCATTTGATTATAGAACAACGAAGCTAAACGCAGGGTCAATCCCTGACTAAGCAGACTGAGAAATAGACAAATCTGCAAAGAGGACGTTGGTCCTTCTGAGATCCACAAGCCCGCTGCTTTCCGCGCTTGATCCTTGCCCGACTCTTGTTAATTGCCTTCATTCCCCACGCCTTCTGCATGATCTTTTCATCTTCGGGCCACTGCTTGGGGTGCATACTCCAGGGGGCGCTGGAGTTGTCTCAGAGTAAGAGGGGACGAAGTGGGAGGAGGGTGGGGGATGGGGTTATTGGTGTTCACGACCATACCATTGCAGGTCCACGATAGAGAGAGCGGGGGAGGAGGGAGAGGAGGGGGGGGCGGGGGGTGGTTAGGGATCGGGGAAGTCTGATAAAGGACGCAGGGGGATGTGAGGTGCGATGTTTGTCCAGTCATTGAAAAAAGTAGTTTGTAATCTCTCTGTCTTTCTTCAAGTCCCCGTCCCACCCCCTCTCCCTGCAGTTCGCCCGCTCAGGAACCCTTAGCTAACCATCCTCCCTCCTCCCCGCGCAACCAATTTCTGCAGAAGTCTGTGATCTGCTTCCTCAGACAATTGGTTGGCAGAGGCGGTCTAGATGGGATTTGGTGTCCACGGTCCACCCACTTTGATCTGATTTCCATTTCAACATCCTGCTTAGTACAGTCGGTCATATCTCCACTTTGCACGCAACACCTCCTCCATCACATGTGTGCAGCGGCGCCACCACAATGCCCAGAGGTATCTTGCCACTGTGAGTGTAAAGTCCATGGATACTTTCATATGGTTGTTATGAACGGGCACTAGGATATTTTCTTTCAGTGTGGTGCCGCCAGCCATTTTATTCCGGTAGCTAACACCGCATGTTAACCACGGCATTGGAAGTTGGAACAATAGCTGGGAAAGGGGTCATGGTTAAAGAAGAGAGTTCCCAAAAGCAGTTGCGGGGTGTGCTCAAGTTATGATACTTTTCTGGTGCTTTCAGTTAGAAGCTCGGGGGGGGGGGGGGGGGGGGGGGGGTAGGGGTCGGGGGTGGTGAGAGGGGGCAAAGTGAAGGAACGTGTACCTTCCTTCCTGGTGTAACTGGTTTGGAAACTGGACCCCTGCTATTGTTCTTAGCCTCCCAAACCTCGATAGGGGGGTTATTGCCAGTTTTTTTAGCATTCTGCACAGGCCAGCGAACTCCATGTTCGTCAATTTGAGGAGATGACCACCCTGACTTCGGCATTGCCTGCAATGCTCCTGATCTGACATCCGCTCTCGCACTCATGTTTTCAGACGCCGAATCGACCCTCGTGGTTCTGGCAGACGGCAGATTGTTATGAGCCAAGTATGGATCAGATGAGAATAGTATTTGGGCAGCAGCTGGTGTGTTGGGATGCTGAGTCAACTGGAGAGGCTGGGGGGTTGTCGAGGAGAGAATCCTGTGATCTTGCAGGGGGGATGATCTGTGGCCAGTTATCTGGGTGGACCAGGGGCTTGAGATCCTTGGTTCAGGTGATGTCGTAGGTATGACAGAATGGGGCCTGGCATGTTCTGGTCTTCGTTCGTCAAAGGCCCTGGTGACATGGTCTGAAGATTTCTGCCTCCAGTCTGCGTCATCATCCTCCTCCTCCTCGTCTGATTCTCGGCCAGATTTCAAGTCCCCTCGTGCCTCTCCTTCCCTGGGAGAGGCAGCAGACATAGCCCCGAGGCCATGCGTAGAAGCCATACTGCTGTCATCATCTGTAGGACTTCGGTCTCTATCCGAGAGCGATGATTGATTGGTAGGATCACCAACTCGTCGAGGAGTCTCCCCATAGAGAAAGCACCATGTGGAAGACATTTCTCCCAGCCCATACCTTGTGTTTGAGGCAAACGAACGGCTGTTGCGTCCTGGCCCACCTTCTCCACTTTCCACTCGTCTTCCCACTCCTCCTCCTCTGCCTCCTCCAGCACCCCTGAAAGCCAACCGTCCAACCCTGAGCCAGAGGCGTTCAGGGATGTGATGTGGCCGGAGAAATGAAGCTGTGCTAAATGCAGACTGTGTGCGAGCAAAGGAATGTCTTTGAGACTTAAGGGGCCGCCAGCTCAACCTCCTAGGGGATTCTACAGGAGCCCCCAAGAATGGCCTGTCCGAGGGGGTAATAAACCCCTCTCCCTCTAATCCCCCTTGGTCATCAGTCCCGTGTTGTCCATGCGAATTCAAGGACCTGCCAAGATTGTCAGTTGCCGTTGCAGTAATGCCCTTGTTTTTGGAAACAATTGTTCGCGATGCCGATGGCTTGCTTCGCACGGAATTCAAGTCCGGATCTACTGTAACGTTGTTGCTTCGTTCAACATAGCGATTCCCATTTAAATTGGTTGTCAACGGAATAGGGGAAACCAGAGGTGCTAGAGACTTTGCTGCTCGGTTGAAGGCAATGATTGGATCCGCGCCAGGTCCAGGTTTGCCCATCGATTGCACCTTGGACTGCTCTCCGCCGTTCCCGGAGCAGTTCCAGAACCAGAAGTATTGCTGTTACCACTGGACGTGGCCCTCGAACTACTGGAGGTTGTTCAAAAACCGATGCAGGAACTGCTGGAGGTCCAAAACTCAATCCAGGAACCCAATGGATGTTTGAGAACTGCTGTTGTTTTCTTCTATGCTTCCAATTGCTTCGCAGATTGCCTACCTTGATCATCCCCATTTTCAGACTCTCTGTCTTTCCAGTTCCCCCTCCTCCATCGCAGGATGTAAAGACCACACAGTTCCCCCATCAATCTCTCTGCAAAGAACAATTTCGGGCAATCAAGAAAGAAGCAGCACACAGAAAAGGCAATGTACCTCTTATTCTTCAATGGCATGCATAGACCTTCGAAACAGATTTTACCGACCAACCGCAACAAGAAACGCTTGGAAGGAGCTCGGATAGCCCTATACCCAAACTACAACTGGTGTCAAAATCTGAACTGAGGAATCTAGAGAACAAGCAGGAAGAGAAGGAGGAGGAAGAGGAGGAGGAAGACAAGCAGGAGAAAGAGGAGGAGGAGGAGCAGGGAGACAAGGACGAGGAGGTAGGAATAGCTGAAGGAGAAGAGAGGAGGAAGAAGAACAGAAGGTCAACCAGGGAAGCAGGAGGACGAGAAAGAAGCAACAGCAGGAGGGTAATGAGGCGGCATCTTGGGCAATGGGGAAAGCTTGATCCAGAAATACAGGATGCCTGTAAGTTTCATCCAGCCAAGACAAAGCTTCCAGCCAAGACAAATCTTCAAGCACACGGAAGAAGAGGTGGAGAAGGAGAAAACCCCACTGACTAGGAACTGGTCTCTTGGATGCGTTCTGTTGCTGTAGTGGGTCTGCCAAGGTGGCAGATGCTGCTGGTCGTGATGAAGAAGAGGAGAGTTGGAGATGGGGGTGAAGGAGGCTGCTGTCAAGCAAGAGACAACAGCACCTCACACTCACACTGCAGACAAGATACTCCAAGACTCAAAAAAATGGAGAACGCGAATGAAACAGACACTGGTTACCTAGAATGGAGGGCCACAGAATCAGACCGAAAGGACGACCACACAATGCGGACTCTCCCAGCAGATATTGGGCAAAATTGATCTCAGTATGGAGGAAATCCCTTCGACAGAGGGGAAGAGGGCCAAGGACAGAAGAGGAAATCCTGAGACAACCCCTCTTTGGCAATGACCTCCTTAAAGATCAGAATGCCCAACCATGGATGCTGCTAGGGAGGGATAAGAGATGGAGAAAAGGGGTAGGAAACGGACTGTGGAAGGTGGAACACATATGGGACGATCTCAACAAGAAATGGAGAACGGAAGTGGACCTTAGACCAAGAATGAGAGGCTACCACAACCTACAGAAGAGCCTGAAGGAACTAATAGATGGCATACCTATGGCCCGGAGGTTGGCTCTAAAGAGGGATCGACTGTGGAAGAAGTTGGATTGGGCAACTCTGACGGTCCGAGGCTCACCCTCAGTAGCCCTCCGAAGCATTAGATACCCAACACCAGATACGCTTATAGCAAGCTTTGGCGTTCACGGAATAGAAAGCGCAGACATAGCGATACTAGTAGTAAGAAAAGACTCTCTAATAAGCCTAGAATTAAGACACAAGATCTACGGAAAGTTAAGCAATTAAGAAACGACCAAAAGCGAACAAAGCGAGGAAGAAAAAGGCAAGAAACCACCATCTGGTTGTTCAGGCCAGACAAGGACATATCAGAATTAGAAATAGACCCCATGGACTGGGGGCTGGGACGAAAATAGAGGGAGAGGTGAAACGGTTTCACCCAGTTGACTCGACCATTGCAGACACTGAGATTCGATCCCTAGACCTGTACCTAAACCCTGTACATTGACCCCGTGTTCTGAGTGAGTTTTGAACCCGTGACCTGTCCCTAAAACCCGTAGGTTAGTTAGTAGGTCTGGTCGTTAGCTGCCAGGACTCAATCCACAGACCTTCGTGTTAGTAGGTTAGCATGTTACCGTTAGACTTACTTAGAGCCCTTCTGGAAGTCTCTTCCTGTCTCTTCAAAGGCCTAAGGGTCAGCCCAGTCCGTAGGCAGTGGTGGTAGAGTCTAGAAGGTCGTAGGCCTGTCAGTCAGCAAGTATCAGGCAAGTGGGCAAGTAGTGAAGGGCTTCACATTCCAGAAGGCACTACACACGTTTTGGCCGAGCAGGCCCACACGTTTGGGAGCAGGGCAGGGCATCAGCTGAAGTATAAATAAAGGAGCATCGCCTGGCCAGTTCATTCATTCGCCTGTGAGCCATGCGAAAGTGCTGCCTTGGTGTCTTGTGCGTGGGGGTCTGCAGGTGCCCAGAGAGGAAGTGGGTAGTGAGGAAGACGACGGCCATAACTGGCCAGGAGGAAGACGAAGGCGGCCATAGCTAGGAGGAGGAAGACGACGGCGGCCATAGCCGCCCAGCTGTTGTCATAGATGGAGTGTACAGAGTGTTTGTGTGCGTGTAGCGTGGACATTCAGGGTAGATCCTCGTACATGTGCATATGAGGGAGAGGGAGGCTGGTGGTGGAGACTGTGTTCGACGGCCATAGCCACAAGGTTGTACAGTTGACTTGAACAGAGTTTTAAGTGCAAGCCCATTGTTGATTCTGGGTCAAAAGAGTTTGGTTTGCCATCAGTTTGCTAGTGTGTGCATGTTACAAGCAAGTTTGGAGTGCAGTCTGATTTCACTGGTATCAGAGCTGGTTCCCGTTGTCCACGCCCAAGCTACAGCAAGCTGAAGAAGAAGAAAGCCGCCATAGCCGAGGAGTGGCAGACAGAGAGAGAGAGAGAGAGAGAGAGAGAGAGAGAGAGAGAGAGAGAGAGAGAGAGAGAGAGAGAGAGAGAGAGAGAGAGA